CCAACCTTCTGTGCCGTAACCCTACGAAACAATGAATTTAGCTGGTGTTTCTCTAGATTTACTTATCCTGAACTTTATATAAAGACAAGCATACAAAATGAAAAAGCAAAACAAAAAACAAAGACCAGAAACCAATAACAGTAAGAAAATAAAACAAACAAAAAAAATTGAAAAGAAATCATAAAATCGTAACAACTAGAGTAAATTTAAAACGGGTCAAAAGGGATGTCAAATGATAAGGTGTTACATTTTAACCAAACTATACCTACATTGACCAAAGGTGGTCAGATATGTCCACATTCATTGCTAATTATTGGACTAATAAAATAATTCAGACACATGAGTTTATGCTGTATGATCCCTCCATTCATGTGAAACTCTATAAAAAAATCAAATTCAACCTATAGGAATCAAAAGCAGTAAGTGGTTGCCTGAACCTAGGAACTGGCTGGAGGCTGAGGGAGAAGAAGTAAGAAGGGACATAATGAAAAGTTTTGGAGTACGAGGGAGTAACGCCCAAAACTAGAATTTGTTTTTCAAAGTCATGTATTTAAATTTTTTTTAACAAAACAATCTTATCACCTTCAAAGTACTCTCCATTACACTTATTTGTCACAGATTTGTCAAATCTGCAATTCCAGTCTTGGAAACATTTTTCAAACTCATCTTTTTCGATGGCTGACAGCACCTGTTTTGGTTTTTCTTCACCTCTTCTACTTTGTCAGATCGCTATTCTTTCATGTCCCTCTTCATTTGTAGAAACAAAAAGAAGTTGCACAGAGAAGGTCAGATATGTGGGGCAAGAGATGTGTGCCATGTTTTGCCAAAAACTGGCTCATTGAGAAGGCTGAGTGAGCAGGTGCATTGTTGTGGTGACAAAACCAGTCCGCAGTCTGCCACATATCAGGCCTTTTTTTGTCACACAGTTACATTTTCTTTTCAGAACCTCTAAATAGAAAGCTTTATTAACAGTCTGACTTGGCGGAATGAACTCCAACTGCACTATCCTCCTCACTTAAAAAACAAAAAATAAATGACCATTGTCTTGATCTTTGATTTCACTTGATGAGCTGTTTTTGGGTGAGGTGATGATGGCATCCTCCACCGGCTTCTTTGATGTTTGCTTCCAGAGTTGGAAGAATAGCACCCTGTCTCATCACCAGCAATGACCTTGGAAAAAGCGTCTGAGTCACTTAGGAGCTGTTCTTTCAAAGCACAGCGTGTTTCCACTTGATGCTTTTTCCCTGGTCAGTCAGAACCTGAGGCACAAACTTCACAGCGACCCTTCTCATTCCCAAATCTTCCATTAAAATTCGCTGAACGGTGCTCTAAGATAATCCAGATAACTTCCCCAAATCTATCTTCAATGGTCACTTGTTGGTCTTCAAGCACAAGTTCACAAATTTTGTTGACACTTTTTTCCATTCAGGAAGTTGACTGGTGGTCAGAACAAGGTTTGTCATCAGTCAACATTTCACCTTTTTTTGAAATGAGAAGACTACACACACACTTGAGTTTTTCCCATAGCCCCGTCCTTGTGTGTTCAACATCACAACAGTTTCTGGGGCATTTTTCCTGAGCAGGAAACAAAATTTCACAGCCACATGCTGTTCTCATAAGTCAGCCATCACAAAAAGAAACGAATTTCAAGTGAGACTACTTTTACGAAAAAATTCACTGTGAACAGAAAACCTTCCCAAGTGATGGCACTGGGTGCACGACCTCAGAGTGAGTTGCTGGATGGTCACCTAGTGGGATAAATGCATACTATGAAAGCTCTACCCAAGCTCTACCTTTTTTTGGAGGAGGGAAGGGGGGACCCTCCCTCTTGCTTATATTGGTAATTACACAGGTGTATGTTGTTATACCTTATCACACTGTATCCTTATCATGAGTATATTTTAATTTATGTAAATGATGTTTCAGAAAATAATTAAGGTCC